AAATGTTACTGTGAGCGGACGGTATAAGATGTGTATAAGAGACAGATATATATGTGTGTGTGTGGGGGGGGGAGTAGGTTTGTTTGTGCGTGTGTATAAATATAAGCTAATATGAAAATGAAACGATTGCATGCGTTGACAAAATAATAGAGGCATACAATGTATATATATATATATATATATATATATATACGTATATATATATATTTATTTATTGTTTGAAAAGACATTTAACATAATATTATCTAAGCCTTCATCGGAGTGTCCATTTATCTCTGTCAATAATTTGCCTGAATTTGTAAATATTTTCTATGTATATTAGGCCTATTTGTATGTGATGTAGGCCTATATGTTTGTGTGCGTATGTATATTTATGTAGGCCTATATATTTATATTTTGTTTTTAAAGTATTGTTTGTTTTTTTGCTGGTGTGAATTGGTTTTCCTTATGAAAATGTCTTAATGTTAATTTCCTTTCCCAATGTGCTTTAGGCTTATTCTTTTTGTCGTGATACTGATAGTTTTTGGTGTGAATTTGTTTTCCTTATGCAAACTGTCTTTGTTTTTCTTTTCCAAATGTACGTTTGGACGTTTTTCTTCTTTTGTCGTGATGCTGATTGTTGTGGTAGTTTTTTTTTGTTTTTTTTTGCATGTGTCAGTCCTTTATATCTGTGTTTATGTTTTCTCACTAGTTGCATTTTAATAATATTTTATCTTTTAATAAAATTATTTTCTTGTAAATTTTATAAATCTGCTCGCAATCCGGTTATGTTTAACTGCTCTGAGTTTTGATAATCAGAGATTTGTTTTTATTATGATCCTAGACTCGAGATTTTTCAGAAGAAATATGTTTAGGCTTTAGCAGGGGTGGTGCCTGGATTTTCCCGACAGGGGTCCGACGGGGGCTGATCTCCCCGACGAAAAAAGTGGGCGTGGTCGGGCGTCGCTCAAAAACTGTCGAATGTGGTCTAGGGGGCGAAGCCCAAAAAATATGAGAAGTTGGGGATTTCAAAAGCTAATATAATCGATTTTAGAGTCTTCCAATATGTAGAAAATACATATAGGGCCTACATTTCTTTCTCCCCGACGATTGTCTGCCAAACTATTAGGTTTAACAAACTTTGTATATGGATGGTTAAAAAAGAAATAGGCCAACTGTGTTTTTGTCACGAATATGCCTGTAACTTCATGATGGGTTGAAAATACTCCTACAGGATTACTATTACCAGAGATTTGTTCTTGTTTGAAGAACTCAAAACATTGGTTAGGGGATAAAAAAAAATCATATGTAACATTTACAGAATATGAGGCTGTAGATCGATTACAGACCTTAAGCATTCAAAATTACTAATTTGTTAGAGCTTCCGGGAACTTAGCCCCCTGGATCCCCTTTAGAGGTTCTGGGACATCACTCCTCCCAACGCTTTTGATAGCTATCCTTCCAGGGAAACTTTTTCAATTTATTAGGAACTTTCTCGTTGATAGACTATGCCCAATCGATCTTTCAATTGTTCTGTTATTATTAGAGCACTGTTTTCCCATTATTTTACTAATATGTTTGTATATATATTTAATAAAATGCACACACACACACACACACATACACACACACGGGGCTTATATTCGAGGTGGTGGTTATTTAAAGCGGGGCATTTATTCGAATAAATACGGTATAATTTGAATACACATTATTATTCTTTATTATTATCAATAATTTCATAATTATTATTATTATAACTATCATTTAGTTTCATTGTTAAGTCCTTGTAATCAAATAAGTTGTTCGAAAATGAGTAATCGTGTTCCGCAATTTTCTAAACCCCCATCTTTAAGCTGAATTTTTTTATCGTAAATGTTACTGTGAGCGGACGGTATACGCATGTCAAACCTGACAAGGTCTCTGGAGAATTTAAATTAAAAGACAATGTTATGTCGAGGAATAGAATGTC